GCAACTCTTCTACAAAGGGTTTAATCTCTACATACTAGAGTCCTCCTTGGCTTCACACAAGGAATACAAAACTGCTGATGGATCCATTTGAGAACTAGCATCTCTGTGAGCTCAGCCTCATCTTTTTGGAAATACAGACTTTTGGAAGCCATTAACACCAAATCACTACTTCATTCACAGACAGCTGTTTCAGATATCTGAACTGGGGTAGATCAAAGAAAAGGTAACATGGTGGACAGAAGGATAGAGATGAGATGTGTAAAGTCATAACATAGTAATGAATAAATACGATTTGGTTTTTGCTTTCAAAATCAGTTCTTACAGCTATAATCCATAAGCAAGCCTTAATGATGCAAACAACAGAAATTCACTGCAGAAGGAAAAAGAGGATGGAGTGACTAATATATATTCCTGCACGTACAATTAACAAATGTACACTTAGAAGAGTGGTGTGGTTAGAATGATATCTTACAGATTTATAACAATAAAGATTACCATGGTGGAAAGAGGCAATTAAAAATGAAATGCTAACACGAGTCCTAAGCTCACAGCAGAAAACTCCAGAAGGAGCAATCCCCAGAAAGAAATCTTTCGCCCTGACAGTCAACTCTTAAACTGGGACTAGGAGAGGTGGCATCAGGCTCCACCCCTTCCGGTCACACAACTAAATTGCCTTCACCTGTATTCCCAGGGCTGACTCAGCTGTTGCCTCAAGTGATCAATCAGGCTGTAGCAGTGCAGTTATCCAGCACACATGGAAAATTACTCTGCTTAATCTGAAACATCTTTTGATATTGTTGTGTCCATGTTTATAAGTTAAGAAAGGCTATTCATCAAATGCATGCTTAACGGTCTAGATATTTCTCTAAAAATTCATTGCAGAAAGGAAAAGAAACCTTAGCCAGAAAATCATTACAGAACATGCAGTTATTCCAAATTACTGAGATTTTTCCTCCTTATTAATTTTTTGTTCTTCCACAGAGTGAATAGAATGCGTTACAACAAATAGACATAGGAGAAATTTTTCTTAAGGTCTCTTTTTTCACTACTTAACATCAATGGCTTAGTGATGCCAAATGGCAAACGTTCTCATCTTACACCAAGTTACATACAGATTTCTTATCAGAAACGAGATCTACATATCGAGCCCCATAATACCTTAAAAACTGTGCAAGAAGGATGCAAATGAGATGGGAAAAACGTTGTTAGAATTTACAGTAGTATTGATAACACTGTAAACAGCTTCATGAACTTACAGTTTATTATTTATTTTATTATTACAAACAAAAAGTTACTAACTGGTCTGTATAAATTGCTTTTAAATGTCAGCCTTCATTAAGATTCAGTCTAGTTTGAATCAATTTACTGAGCCATCTGCTTTTCAAAAGGAGAATTCCAGAAGAAGGAATATTTTTTGCAAGATTTGCAGCATGGCAAAGTAAAGACATAGTGAGAATGTCATGTGGAACTTAATACAGCCTTGCTGCTATTCTCACAATGAGATAAAGCCAAGAGGGTCCAACAAAGCAGCAACTGGCAGCACAGGGAATGTGGGAGCTGTATTGCCACAAGACAGATTATTTGAAGGAGAACTCTTACACTTCAGTTATGGTATGGGAGCTGTTGAATCACAGCCTAAACCACTGATTAAGCACCTGGGAAAAGCACTTGGTCAACCCTGGTAGCAAAGGTGAAGGCAATTCACCTCTGTGACCTGAAGGGGTGAAGCCTGGCTGCACCTCTCTTAGAGAAGCTTTCCCCTGCAAACCTAGAATCTACTGATATGGATGAGGAATCTTCTTTCCTTCCTTCACAGCATCTTTTTTATTGCGCTGGCCTTTCCATCATCACACTTTTGTTGCAACACCTTTCCCATTGTATTGATCTAATTGCTACAGTTACCCCTAGTTGAGGAATCTGGTAAGATGATCTCAGCTCTGAATCTATGTTAACACATTATCTAGACAAAACTTCTGAAAGGATACTGCAGAGTTTCAGACAACTTTTTCATCAACCCCTTTCAGAAAAGCAGTCTATAGAAGCTATTGATTTCTGGCATATCCTTATAAACTTCCTCACGTGACTTGTCAAGAAATAAAAAGATGATAATTCATCTACATTGGGATTTCCAGATAATATTAAATGCAATTTAAAACAACATTTGGACACACTTGAACTTAATTCAGTATCAAAGTGCTAATGAGAATTTGTCACTAATGGACGGATAAAAGTGATGTACTGGAAGTGGAAGGAAAAACAGAGAGAGGAAGGAGATGAAACAGGAGGAGAAAGTGCTGATTTATATATTCTAAAGCAACTCCAACCATCTGTAGCAAAAAGCTTCTGATAACTTAAACTGGAGTAAGTTAAATAAGGGATCTCACTTCTCGGTGTCAATCAATCCAGAATGTCCTGAATTGTAAGAAAGCTATTCAAGATGGAGACTTCTATTGCATGTTACAAAGACATGCATCCCAGAAAGAATTAAAACCTAGGAGTTTCAAATAGCTTGACTTCTACAGTTTCTATAGAATGCTTAAAAATGAAAAATTTATATAATTCTTGAATACTTGTATATCACGTTCCGTAAATGCATTAAAAATTGTACTAAATTTACCAGTTATTGGAAAAATCTCTAGTAACATCCAAAGCAAATGTATAAATAATTAATAAAATTAATTAAAATTAATTAAAATACTAGTTGCATTTTAGTGTTCAATTTTATAATGGGAGGCTGTTTTTAATTGGATGTTTGTCCAAATCACAGATGATCAGGATCCAACTCCTTTCACATTACCAAAAACTCCAAAGAGAGAATGCGGAGCCTTACACTGTTCAAGAACATCTTAATTAGTTTACTGTTATCACAACTCAGTATTACAAACTGCACTAAGATGCAAAGCAAGCAGAGATAGGAGAAACTCAATGAAAGCTGATAAAGAAACAAACAGGATGTAACGATAGCTCACAAAATCACATTCTTTCCACAGATGAGATCTAGATACTAAGGTCATTTTTCACTGACAGTTCTTTATCCCAGTAGTGGTAATATAAAAAGTTGTAGGGAGTAACTGCGCATGGAAATGTACGTTGGGAAGTTGTGAGATATCATCAAATAATCATTAAATTTGAAATAGAAAAACTGTTGGAATTATTAAAACTTTAGATCAGAATGCTGTACTCTATTTCCAGTTCTCTGCGTTCTACTGCATTGATATTTACTCTTAGAAAGGGTGAGAGATAGAAAATTTACTCTATCCTAAAAAAAAATAAATCTAGTAAATTAAATCCATATGAATTACCACAGGCTCTGAAAGTTTTGATGTTTTCCATGGAAGTTACTGTGTGAATATACTCATAAAAATGTCTTAGATACATAATTCAACCAACCAACCAAAAAAAAAAGGCAATAAAAATGAAGTCAAATATTGCAACCTCATACATTTCTAGTTGTCAAACTTCTATTTTCAAAATTATTTTTGGATCACATTAATGGAATAAAATATTTGCAGAGAGAGACACTAAACCAACGTCAGCTTTCCAATATTTCTGAAATCTCAAGCCCAAAATATCCCTCATTGTGGGAACAATAAATATAGAGCAGACTACTCCCAGCATACAGAATTCAAAACAGAAATGGTTTTTTTTTGTCATATTTCCCTTAAAACCGATAGAAAATTTTACTGAGGTCCAAGTCTCCAGTCCACAAGAGACAGTTTTGATTTATGCTCCTGACTTTTGCTTTCACTAAGTCTTTCTTAGCATGAATGTCCATCTTACTTAACATGAAGGTACAAGGAAAAAAGACTCTGATGGATTATATCACCTAGAAAATCATTTGTTCAAGAGGAACTCTCAGCTAAAACTTCAGGTCAATTTTCTACCTGATTCATGGACATTTAAAAATGACCAGAAAAGAAGATTTTGTATGAATTGTCACATACAGAAAGAAGGTGAAAAGTGCATGAAAAAGAATATATGACACTAAAGGAATTCTACTTTTTCACAGATTCTAGGAAAATGTAAGTGAAGTTCACTGAATAAAGGAAAGAAATGAATAAAAGGAACTCAGTCTCTAATTTCACGATAAAATTGAAGTCTAACAGAACTGCAGGCTCATTGCACAAATTGGCATTTCATAAGCTTTCCTTTCATTTCTGATTTTGGTAAACAATGGTCATATCCAATTCCAGCTGAAAAGGAGGGGTACATGAAGAGATCTTAGCTGAGACCTCTAATGACTTTTTTCCCCGCAGCTTGCATACTTACATTTCATACCAGAGGTGCAATTGCTAAGTGATGGATTCGTAAGTTTAAAACTGAGTATTCAAAATAAATGACAACAAATGTTACTTTGAGAAAAAAATCTTTCAGTTGAATACCTGAGAAACCAAACTTCTGCTATTCCACATTCAGAAAAGAACAGGCATTAGACAGACTGCAATTCCATGGGACAGTAAGGAAGTAAAAAATGAAAGCCCTAAGACACAGTGTATCAGGGAGCTCAGAAGAGTAATACTCATATCTCATTCATATCTATTAAGAACCATTGCTTCTTAATCTCACGCTGGGTATACAGATATTAAAAGAACCTCCTCTCCCTCCTATACATTGAAGCGAGACACCCCTCAGTAAGGATCATCCCATCTCAAACATGGCATGTTAGCCCTGACTCACCTCCAGCCATAACAGACTCAGACTCCTGAGGAACCACTTGTTCATGTTTGTTTAGGCAAGAGATTAGATTAAGTAAGACACGATCTGAATCAGTGCTGGATACACAGGCTTGACTTAATTCCGACTTCTGCAGCCACTATGTGAAGACAGGTATCTTATCACTGGAAACATATGAGTATGTTCAGACAATCTTAAGAAATATTTTCAGTGGCTCAAGGGATCATGTGAATTTTTTTCCTTCCCTGATGAAATACATTCACAATTCAGGTGAGTCAGAGTTTAGACTGACACCCTGCATGCTTCCCAAAGGCTTTGTTTCTTACCAGATTGGATCTTCATGGCTGGTGATCAGAGAGGGGCAGTTGCTAGGAATAATCTTGGACACGATTCCTGATTTGTTCTTACGCAGCTGTAATCCACATCCCACCACTCTCTCAACTTCATCACTCTGCAAAAATTTAAATATTTGTGAACAAAGAATGCCTCTTCTAACAATAAGAAAATGCCTATAATGCATTACTTTGAGTAATATCTCTTCCTGCAAAGCTGTGGATATAGTTATGTGCGCATTGCTAGTAAATGATCGTTACAATTATGTAATTTGAAAATGTGATAACTTAACAAATGGGTATTTCTACAAGCCTTAAAATACCACAGGGAGCTTAATTCCGACACTGAAATTTCTAATATTTATCTATGCAACGTTCCTTAATCTATTTGACGGTATATCCTAGGAAATATGTACATCATTAAAATAGAAAACATACTGACAAATACTAGAAGCACCAAGACATGTTTAAAGGTCTGCCTTTGTTTCTCTCTCTTACTGTCTCTTTGTGAGTCGATGCTGTTGAAATTTAAAAGACCTAAAGCTTTACATTAACTCTGTGGGAATGTTGCAACATGGTGTTAGGTTAACCTGCTTAGCTTTACATGACCTGAGATACTAAAAAATATCCTTAGTCTGAAGGGCTGACAGGCAGTAACTCAGCATCACAAGAATTTTGAAGGCAGTACCATTGAAATAGTATATGATGTTATTGAATTCTTAGCATCGAGTGAATATTGGTCATGATTTATAATAATTTTGAAATAACGCTATTTGCAACAGGATTCTCTTATCTCTGAAAAGCTTATCTGAAAGCAGTAGCACATCACAGTTTTTATTTGTATCCTTTTTCCTAGTACATATGCCAGCTGCATAACAATATACAGAGATTTTGACACATTGCCAGTCCTTACTTCTTCAAGAAGGAACTTTTTTTTAACAGTGATTGGAAAACTAGCAAATAAACAAACAAACAAAAACTCAGTCTCTCCTGATCAAAGTAATACACTTAAACAAAAGAAGCTCAGCCAAAGCTTCAGCTAAAGGCAACACAGCTGCAGGTTTTACACTGATATTTTTTAACTTCTTCAGAAATCACCTACTGATATTTCAGTCCATTCAGGCCAAGGACCTTGTAACAGTACTTCAATATATTTACAGGCACATCTCAGAATACTTTACCTCAATTCTGAGCATTTCTGAAGATTCCTAAGCTTCATGGGTCATTTTAAGTTTTGGATGGATAAGGTGGTTATTTAATCATTTTTTTTTTCTTCTTTTTTTTAATGTTTTAAATCTATTGACTAATTAACTTCAAACTGCTGGAAGTTATGCCTGACCCATGCTATGACACATCAGGCAAATATATCAGCCTTATTTTCCTGAGCTTGTCCTGCAAAGTAAGTGACATTAAAGACTGTCACAGCTCTCTTTTTCATTATGTTGTGCTTGTAACATCCAAACTGAGAACATAACACAGCTACTGGTCTATGGAAATGTGGTAGTTTGCTACAATCAAATTTTACATCCACTTTGCAACTGTCTTACACAGATATAAATTACTACACAAAACAATCATCAGGGTGATTTACACTCTCTATTACAGAAAGCAAAACATCATTACTATAGTAAAACTCCAAGGCTTAAAGATTTTCTATACTTGGTCACACAGAGAAGAGATTCTTTACAACTTCAATATATGTGATTTCCTTTGTATTTTGTAAAATCCCAAATCTTCTAGGCAAGGATCATGCTCCTCTGACTTTGGAACTCTCAAAATTTACTGTGTTCAATTTTTCAAAAGATTTTCAATACAAAATAAGAACCAAGAACAAGTCTTCCTAAAAAAAAATGTATTTGTAGACTGAAGTATTAAAAAAAAATAAAAATAAAAATAAAAAAATCCAGCTCTCAATTTAAGCATATACTTCTTAGAACACAACGTTTTGGAAACTATGTATCTGCAAATCTGCTTGCATGTTCCCATGTGAGGAAATAATACAGATACCCAGAAATATGGTTAACTGAGCCTCTGCCATCTATTTTCTTAAAAGAGCTGTGTACTTTTACTAGATGTAAGCAACTGGCAAAATTAGAGCTGCTCTTGCAATTATATTATGTACTACTACAAATTACTTAATCTTTTTCTTTCTGCTTTTTGGCTTCTCCTACATTCACTAGAATGCTCTGACATCAGATAGTATCTCAACTGGTGTATGGATTTTGCTGGACTTATCAGACAAGATTTTTGCTCATATTATTTATTCTTCCACCGTGTCTTTGACTGAAGGCAGTTATGGTATGTTGATGTGTCACTAGATCTTTCTTTGAGCTCTGGAATTTTGAATAGTTCAAATAATAGACTTACAGAAAGCAAATAAGGACCTCTGGGAAGGTTCTGCTGAAGTGACAAGACTCCTATCTATTTAACTCATATCAAATTTAAATGGAATAGGTTTAATTTTTCAGTAGTGTACTTCTCACTGGTCAATTATAATGAGTAAAATTCATACTCTGTAGGTACCATAGTTTTAAGTTAATTTTGTCTGATACATCAAATATCCATATGCTAAATTAACTGAATTCAAGAAACTAAACTCCTTTCATTTCTTATAAGTTACTGCAATATCTTCTTATGAGAGGGTTAAGGCTTTTTTCATACCCATGCTAAGACTGCACTATTAAAGCAACTCTCTGCAAGGAGATTTGCTTTTCTACCAGCTTTTAAGAATATGGGGACGATATGTTCTGATTCAGATAGTGTGCTACTTTTTTCTATATTTAAACAAAATTAATGCAACATGTTGGATGGAGATCACTGAAACTGAGCCGAATTCAGGTACCAACTCCCTCCTTCCCAAGCCTGTATTCACAGAATAAGAATTTTAAACTGAACACCAAGTTGCTCTGCAAGTACTCAAAGCGTTGAAATGCAATCTGGGGCACTGGCTTAAATTTTTAAAATATCCTATAAATTTTGATATCTGTTTGCCTGACAAACTTCATACTTCCTTGCAGAGAACTCAGGAGAGATCTAAGAGCTGTAACTCTGCTAATTTACATGAGAGGGAAGTGTTAGTAGGATAATTTCTGCTCAAAAGGCTCTTTTTGAAATACTGTCTTCCACTGAAATGCTGCCACTGACTTCAAATGAGGTCTGGATATCACACTTAAGATCTAAAGCACTCCTTCTTAATTTCACTCAGCTTAGATTTGCTGGACTTATGAGAACACTTCATATCATGTAATTCTTCCTAAGAAATGAAATGAAACGTAAATGGAGGGATATAGGGCTAGTAAGATGGTTTACGAACATCACTCAGGAAGCAATTACCTTAGCAATAAAAAGTCTATTTGATTACTAAGCTGATAGTGCTGTATATCCACTGTATGCATTATGTACTCAAACAAATGAAGAAAGAAAAAAAAAAATTACCTAGTTATATATCAGAGAAATTTAAGAATTAGAATGCTTTGCACATTATTCTCTAAAAATGAAGCAAACGAACCTATCTGCATGGGTCCTGAAGAAACCCTACAAATCCATGTCAACACACATTCAGATTTTCAGTGCATGATACACCAATGTATCTTGCAGTCTAGGTATTCTGGCACTAGTATGTACTTGTAGAAGAATGTCTAAATTGTTAAAAAAATGTATTTCTTGAAGTTGGTATGTATTTTCTGTATTATATAACTACCAACTGAATATACAACTGAAAGTTAGTAATTTTTCTTTCTTTTCTCTGCTTATGGAAAAAAAAAATATATGGAGTCAAAATGCACAAATGAAAATTGTGGTATTTTTCTAACTAAACCTCTCTTTGCAAGATTGCTTGAAATTCATCTCTGTAAGAATTTAGGATACATGGAAAGACATATTGTTTGCATATGAAACTTCCTAAATCATTCCTTTCTCAAACCTTTCACTAACATTACCTATAAGACTGTGCAAAATGCCAAGTCTGGAAGTGGTTGAATTGTGCTAGTAAATGAAGCAGTTAGTAGAGAAAAAAATATTAAAACTTTATCATCACATTAATTAAAAGCAGCAGATAGTAATGATTCATACAAGGATACACAGTTGGGTATATGGAATAAACCTTTGAAGCTTTTGAAAGATAAAGATGATCCCTCAATTATTAAAATATCATCTAATCAGAATATAGAAGTTCATTTGCAAAATATACAGGTATGTATATCGTTTCATTCAGTGGCAATTCTCCCATCAGCTTCAACCAGAACTTTATCAATCTCAATGGGCAACCCGGAGAGATTATCAAGAGAAACCACACCTCGTGTTTGAGTACATACAGTTTTCAATCTTAATTTATGCTACATCTAAGTGATTAATGGTTGAGTGTTTACTAATACAGCAGTTCTCTTTGCTAAGTTGGGCATCTTTCATTAACAGTCCTACATATTGGTGCATTGTGTGAGGAAAATTTCACTTCAAATTCGCTAATAACTCAACCTTTTCTTCTTGAAACTTAGCCTGCCAACAGTTTTTCCATAACTATATGGAATGTCTTTATTTTATTTTGTAGTCAAGTCAGTTAACGTATTTTGAAGGATATATCGCTTTCTATTTATCAGTTTAATTTGAAGCTACAAGATTCCCTCAGAGAGCTCATCAAAGAATGTAGACATTTCAGTACATTGCTGTTTCTTTTTCCCAGTGACAGCAACTCTAAAAGGTACTGAACACTATTTACTTAAAAAGAAATGTTTTCCCTTATGCAATTATTGCTGGAAGAATCATTAGCCACAATAAAGTTTCAATGAGTCAGTTAAATATACATCTTATTTTATAATTTACATATCTTTTAACACTTTTAGATCCCTTGGGTCAAGTTTATGAGACACAAAAAGGACACACAAAACTAAATAATATTCAATATATAATGAACATGTAAATTAACTGGAAAATTGCTTCCTCTTAATTACCAATTTTTACATAATGACCCTGTATCTCTTTGGTCTCTGCTAATACACTAAGAGAACACTGCAAATGTTTCTGAAGTGCCAATTATTCCTCAGACTTAGTAGACATTTGTGGTGGTGTTTTTTTTTTTAATATGTCAGGATAATTTACTGTATTCTTCAGACTAGGTTTCAGT